CTTTTCATCCTGCCCTTCCGCCCTTTTCCAGCACCTCTGACAGGTGGAGCCCAGGTTTCTAACACCGGGCATCCAAAATGCGAAGCTGTTGTGGCCAGGGTGTCTTCCCCGGGGCATCAGAGACCCCGGATCTCCTGAATTCCAGAGCCCGGAGCAGAAGTCCCCTGCTCCACCCATGGCAAAGAGACATAAGTACTTGCAACATAATCTGTGGCTTTCATGGCTTTCTCAGACCAGATAAAAGGAAATGTCAGTGTGGGAGAGTGTGGTCTTGTGGAGGTACACTCAGCCTCTTCCTCTACCCTGGTGTAAACCAGGACTAACTCGGATGGAGTCAGAGGATGTGGTCACGAGCCGTTTCCTGTGGCTTTCTGCAGGGTAGCCCTCGCTTTGGGAGGAGGAAGTCACTGCCGTTCAGCTTCCACTTACCACGGGGCAAGAGAGTGCAGACAGGCAGCGCCTGCAGGGCTGCCGTTGCGTGGTAAAGCCCCACCCGCTTTCACCCTGCCATAGGGTGCTCGCACGTCTAGGCTCACCGTCACCCTGGGGCACAACAGGTGCGAGCCAGAGGTGCACTGGGACTGCTGTCGCTCTCGTGGTGGGTGCCATGGCTATGACCAAGGAAGCTCATGCCCCTGCCTACCAGAACCAGCCTTCCCCACTGCTTCTGCATCCCGGACCCAGAGAGAGCCAGCCTCAGGGCGCAGGGGTAACTCAGGACCTCCTGGGTGGCATGGACTCCCTGCTCCCTTGGGCAAGTCTCTCCAGGCGAGGTGGGGAGAGTAACGCAGATCTCTTGCAGTGGGTGAGTGCCTTGCACTCCTCTTGCCTAGTGCTGAACAGCAAGGCAGCTGCACCAGAAGTGTCCAAACCCACCTGAAGCGGCTTAAGGGTTGAGCACGTATCGCCCAACGTACTGACGCAGCACAGCGGGACAGGTCAGGGCTCAAGCCTTGCCCATCACTTGACTGTAGCTTAGGGAGTTTTTTTCTCGCTGTAATTTTTTATCCTCTTCTCCCCAGTTCTTGCTGAGAAAGGGGGATTTGGAGCGGTTCTTTATACAGCTATTATTGTCTTAGTGAGAAACCAGCTCAACATATTTAAAAGCGAACAGAAGGCTTTTCCCCCGCCTTCTTTTAACTTGTGTACCTTAGTCTCTCTGCCTGACATTTAGCTGATGCCTCAAATAATTCTTCAAGACAAAGTAAATGGGAATTCTTTTGATACAGCGATTCTTCAGTTACAGGCATTTTAAGTATGCATAATTTGACAGAATCCTCTAGTTGTCTGGTCTTTTATTTCTTTAAAGAAAACCACACGGCTGGTACTGTGTTTGAAAATGAACAACAATGGACTCCCTGGATTTCAGCAGAAATGGATGTTGCATGAAGAAATAAAGGAGGATTGGTTCTCATGGACTAATAGCGGCAAGAGCTGGGAAAGACCTAATAGGCCAAGTCAGTACATTGCCCTACCAATACATTTTTTTTTTTTGCAAGGGGCCTGGTTTACAGAGGTGCTGAGTACTTGCAGTCCTTGCTGGTTGCGTGAAGGGTGGAGGGGGCTGAGCCATCACTGGAGATGAGCAGTAAGATGCACCTTTGATGCATCTCTTAGTGAAGATCTCCCGGGCAGGGATTTGACTGGTCTTGTTGGACTGACTCTCGAAGGCCAAATTTTCAGAGTGCTGCCTGGGTTTGTTCAGACATAGCTCGGTCACATGTTTACATCTTTGATGGGGATCTTCCAGGACGTGGCTGTTGACATGATTTAAATCGCAGGTGCCAACTTGCACGCTTTGTCACCTTCACCAATGTAGACCTGCATGTTAGACTCACCAGGCTGAATCCAAATCTCATTGAAGCCAGTGGTGGACTCCGTGTCTGGTTCAGTCGTAGCTTCTCTGTATAAATTCAAGGTAGGAATCAGCAGGTGTTGAATGCTGGAAGCTGTTGGGGGCAAGGGGCAGGAGATGGATCAGTCTGGACAGGCCCCGCATAAATACTCTTCCCCGCAGCAGCTGCCCTGGGTCACTGGGCTAGATGGAGCAGTGGACTGCCGCAGCACAGCAGCTCTTCTGTTTGTGTCCAAATGGGTCCGAGACGCGGGCGTTTTCCATTGTAACCTCTGGTCTCAGGTCTGCTCTGCAGCACAGCTGCTCCATAGTGACCTGGGAGGCCAAATTGTTCTGAGCTGGGGACTTTTCTTGACCATTTCTATGGGATAGAAAGTGGCGCTCAAGGCCAAGCCATCGTTGGCGTGAATCAGTGCAGCTCCACTGAAGCCAGGGGCCTCTGCTGATTGACATCTGTGGTGCACCTGGCCCTCGGTGCCACGGTGCAATTCTGGATAACGTGCCCACCTGATGGCACAGCTTGAGACTTGTTGGAGGGTCCAAGCCACAGTGTCACCCCTTACCCCTGGGGGCCTGCGGGAGTGACTATGGACTTTTTGGCCGGATTAAGCTCTAAGTCGGTGTCAAAGGAACCGTCTCAGTGCACTGCAGGTAGCAGGCACGCACGAGCCAGCTTTAAACCTACTGGCAGGGTTGGCTTTTCGGACAGGTCTGGCAGCAAGCACTGAGCCTGTGCTTCCCAGATGTGCTGTAAGCCTTGGTACAGGCAGCCCGTTCAAAGCCAGCTCAGACAGGTGTGTGTGAGCTGCAGGCAGGATGAGTGCAGAGCAGACCAAGTCTTAGAAACTCCTTTTCTTGCAAAATTGTCACTAACACTGGTGGGGTATAGCAGCAGCTGGGTGTACAGAGAAGCAGTATTTCCAAGAATTGGAGCTCATTCATTCCTTCTGTAGTCCATCTAGTGGGGCAGGGGCCCGGACTGTCATTGGGATGCTCTTGGTTCATGGCTGTTGTGTGGTAGTTCACGTGCTGGACCTTTCAAAATCATTTTTGGCCCCACCAAACTCAGCATAAGTAAGAATTGGGTCCTATCTTCAGCTGTTCTTACCCTCCCACTGCTGCATCAGTCCTTGGTGGAGTGAAGCAGTGGCATTCGTTTCAGCAGTCCGCCTCCTCGCAAGTTTGTCCCTGTGTTGGAGAGGAGGCGGTGGGTGCTCCAGAAACACTTTGCCTCGGCCCCAGCTTGGCAAGTGCTCACACACGCGCCCAGCTTTCTGTGCGCGAATGGTTTTGTTGATTGCTGTGGCGGCTCACGGTGCCCAGTTAGCTTCTGCATAAAGGTCTGCAGGACTGAACCTGCGTAAACCTATTGCCGGGGCCACAGCAGTCCTGTCCCAGAGTTGATTAATGCAGAGGATGAAGTTCAAGCAGTTGGGAAAGGTCCTGCTTGCCTTGGATGAAGTCCATCCTGTGTGCAGAGCTGCCGCAGGCCCACGGCGCCAAGTGGGAGGTCGGAGCCCCTGAGCTGGTCCTCCGTACCAGGGTGGATTTCACCCTTTGCACAAGTAGCGCCAGTGCAGTGAATAAGTCCGATACTTGCCACAACACCAGCGGGACCCCAGAGTAGCTGCATTCGCTCCAGTGGAGTTATTCCAGCCCTACGCATGGGTAGACGAGATGAGAGCTTGGCAGCACGACTCACTTGAGCAAGCCAAGCGGGCTCTGGCCCCATACCACTGTTAATTACTCCATCCTCGCTTCCAAACAGACATTGCATTGCGCCTGTCAACTTCCCACTGCCAAATGCACCCGAGTGGCTCCCGAACAGTTATACGCTGCAAGACAAACGAAATGTCACCAGTGCTGCTCGCATGGCGGCTGAGAGCTGGCCCCTTGTTTTACACCCGCCTCTAATTATTCTGCGTTTGATACCGTCGCAGGCCGGGAGCTGTACTTAGCAGCAGCGCTGGCTTTTATTGCCAGTTCGGTTTTTTGCAATTGGATTTGTGCCATTGGTACGTGGCAGCGAGTCTTGCTCCATTCCACGTCCCTGTTTATCTAACTTTTTAACCCTGGAGAATTCGATTCTGTTTTTTTCCCTCTAAAAAAAAAAAATAATAATATTAACCTGGCTCAATAGGAGGCATTTTCTTGAACTTATTAAAAAATCCAGAGTTGTAAATTAATTTGTTCGTGTTGTACAATGGCAGTGCAGATGGACTCATTAGCATGCACACAACAAATAATTATAGATGAATTTTTAGCTGGCCTGCTTAATGGGCTTGCTGGGTTAATTATGTCAATGTATAATTACATCAGCCCTGGGAGACATAATGGCACACCCTGCTGAGCAGACACTAGCTAATGATGGTGTAATGCTGACAGAGGGAAGACATACTGCTCTGAATGCACCTGCTTACCTCTGCACAAACTGCTATTGTCTGGGCCTTCCTTTGCCTGAACAAACAGGCGTTACTGCGAGGCTGCAGGCTCGAAGGGGGACCGGGGGCTCTGCCTGGGCAGCTGGCGTTTCGCAGGGTGGGGCTGAGCCTCGGGGCACGAGAGAGGTGCCCTCAGAGCGGCTCAGGGCCGGTTGTGTGTAACCCATGCTTTGCCCATGCCAGCAGTGGTGCCCGCGGGCACTGCTGGGTTGCATGGCTCGTGTGGACCAGTGCCTGAGTCCCGTGGAAAAGCACCGATTCCTGTAGCTCCCTCCAAAGCACCGCTGGCCTGAGCGTGGCAGGGGTGGATCGACCTGATCCAGGTGTGTGCTGCGGCTCTCCCCCCCTCGGAGCCGTCAGGGCCCCGTGAAAGCGTGCAGGCAGATGGGCGAAGGCTTGGCGCCCTGACCACTGCTCTGTGAAGTCTCTTACGGCTCAGTTTGCCTTCGCCAGTGCACAGACGGCCCTGGGGCAGTGGTTGCCCTGAGTACAGCCCCCCGACCCTGCGTACCTTGGAGCAGCCGTGCACACGTTGCGGCCCTGCTCTGGCAGTCCTGGACATGGCCCTGCTGCAGGGGGGCTATGAGCTGTGCAGCCAGCACCTGACTTATTCCCCGGGGGGCCGTGGAAGTGTCGCAAGCAGGGCCAAGGTGGGGGTCCGTGCCGGCTGCTGCCTCTCACCTGTCGGCTTTGCTTCCCTCCAGATCCCGTTCCTGTCCTGGAGGCGGCGCGGAGCCTAGAAGACAGGCTGCGGCAGCTTCAGTGCCTCGACCCTGAGACCCCACCCCTGAAGGAGCTCAACCGGCAGTGGAAGAAGCCCCCTGAGCTTCTTGGCACCAAAGGTACCCGCCGTGCCTGCCCTCTGCCTGCCTCTGGCCCGGGGCCAGGGAAAGGGAGCCGGGGAGGGGATGCCATACGGCAGAGGAAATCAGTGCTGGGGTCTGCAGCGGGCTGTCAGAGGCTTTTGGAGCACCCAGAGCGGTTCCCCTGTGAACCCAAAGCTGGGAGCAGATGGGGGCCAGGACTCCCCGCCCCAGGAGAATGGGAGCGACTTCAGCAGCCTTGTTGTTTCCCAGGCTGCGTCTCCCGATAAGCAGCAGCGTGGGCTGTGCTGGGGTCCCCCCCGGATTGATGCCACTGCTTCAGCAGAGCTGCACTCATTCACATCTGCCCCGTGCCAGGCAGAGCCCCCGCTGTTGGAGACACTTCCTCTAACCCTGCCTGCTGGCTTTCCTCTGTGTTGTGAGGCATCGGCACCCATGGGTGCAGAGGATGGGAGCCAGAGACAAGTGCACAGTGACAGATATTTATTAGCCACTGCCCGGGTGGCACCGGAGCGGGGCTTTCAAGAAACCAGGTGGGGTCACTCAGTGCAGCTCTGCCGGCTGCCCTGGAGCGAGGCCAACATGCCGGTCCCTGCGTTTTCCACCAGTCTGTTTCTTCCTGTGTCTCTAAAAGCAGCAGAGACCGGTGGAGCTGGGAAGGAGCCTGAGCAGGCCAGGTAGCTTGCCGTTGTTCCTCGAGCCGCTGGATTGCTTCCTGCTGGGAAAGCGCTGAGGTCTCTTTTGTGGCTGCCCTGAGTCAGTCCCCTGTGGGGTGCTCTGCACAGCCCAGGGCAGAGACACGGTCACTGCAGAGACCGGGGGTGCAGCATGTCCAGTCCAACAAGGGGTCTCTGTCAGGCACTCAGCACCTGCACAGGATTTTGGTCCCAGACCCTGGTCATGCACGCACACATGCCCACGCTCTCTCTCCCCCCAGCTCATCCAAACCGTATGAAAACCCCAGGCAGGCAGGGTGTAAATAATGGTGGTAGCGAGCGTGGAGAGCATGTTAGGCAGAAGATTGGTGTGATGCCGGCGTGCTGCGCTCTGGGATGCAGCTGCGGCGGTGGCCACTCAGCCCTCGCAGAGCTCCCAGTTGCTGGGAGCTGAAGTGGCTGGAATGAGACTATTAGCAGATCTAACCTAGTCAGGAAGCTGCCACTTTAGCAGACTGGAGGCTGCGCTCAGGGTTTCGCGCCCTGCTGCGCCTCCGTAACGTGATTGACCAGCAGAACCTGCAGAACGTATTAACTCCGTGGCTGAAGTTCTGGAAATCAATTCTTTCCCCCTGCGATTGATCTCATGGCCCTGGAAGAAGGAGCCGCGTTCTCAGTTCTGTCATGCTGCTGATGTGAATTTTACACCCGCAGAGCAGAGAGAGGGAACGTCTCCAGCTGGGCTCACGGTGTCAGAGGGAACCAGGCTCGCGAGCATCAACAGCAAAGCACTTTTCACAGAAACCTTGTTGCAGAGAAATGAGGCAGAAAAACAAAAGTACGTGAGTAGCAGGGGCTGGACCCCTGAGTGAGGCAGTAAATATCCTTTACCTCTGCGTCGGCTGCAAGTGAGAGGTGCTGTGTGCATGCGCACGTGTGTGTGTGTCTCCCTCCCTCCACCCCGCCAGCCTCTTCCCTTCCTTCCTAGCAGTCAGTCCGTGCTCCTGGCTGTTGGGATCTGGGTTAAAACTGGCCCTGTCCTTCCTTCAAGCCAAGTTCTGGGCTGCATCGCACCACAAACCACCCTGTGTCCCATCTGCCCCAGCCTGAGGCTTCCCTCCTGCCTCTGTCATCAAGCGTGGAAGTGTTCAAAGCTGCTAATGGGATTTCCAGTTGCATTTAATGGGAGACGAGGGAACTCCAATCCCCTCCCATGCTGCTAACCTCCTCACACCTGTGCCTGGGCACGTGTGGAGCAGCTCAGGTCATGGGGGTGTTCCAGGGATTCAAGACCAGCCCTGGGCAAGTGCTGAGGTAAGCCAGGCATTGAACTGGTGACTCAGGGGAGAGGTAGGTCTGGGAGCTCACGAGCAGAGTGGTTTGGCCAGACCCACTTCAGGTGTGGTCTGAGTCTCCGGTTTCTAGTCCGTGTGGGGCCCTGGGCAGAGGTCCCATGTTGGGCCTTTCCTCTGCAGCCATGGTAAAGCCCAGCCCGGGATATTGCACCATTTGCCATGCCCAAAAGCAGCCCCAGCCCAGCATGGCACTACCTGCCTTCCAGCAAGCCCCTCTGCGGACAGCCCCCTCCACATGCAGCAGCACTGCCCAAAGCAGGGCCCTGCCGGAAGTGCCCATCAGTGCTCGTACCAGCTGAGCGTACAAGTGTGTGCGTATACAGACGTGTGCAAACACGTGCTCCATGTGCATGGTGCCTTGGCTCAGCATGCGGGGAGGGTTTTTTACTGTTTGACCTTGGTGCCCGATGGGAAACGTGCTCTCTCAAACACTACCCTGGTGGGCAGTCAGACCAGGGTACTCGGGCAGTGCCCAGACCAGGCTGCTGGCTGGGAGCTTGGCTAGAAGACCATCTTGGTGTGTCAGGCTCTGCGCAGACAGCTAGATAAAGGATCGGCCCTGTTCTGCCCTGAGCTTCCCGCGCTGTCTTTCCACGCCTCGCCACCCCTCCATGGGGGGATTGTTTCCCTTCTGCTCCACCTGGCTCTCACCGATTGACATTTCCCCTGCGCGTTGTTTGGCTTGGACGAGTTGGATAAATGCAGGCCGGCAGACGGACCTCTCTGTTAAATGGCCTTTGAATTTCCACACTCCGGAGTTTACCGATGGCTCATGGAACGAGACTTCATTGTTATTCCTTAACGCGCTGCACTGGTAAACAAATGACGCATCCTTAAACTCTAAATTGCAGTTCTTTGGAAGTAAGTTCCTGGCACATGCAGGCTATAAATAATGCAAAATAACTTTTCCCTGATTGCTTCCCCCCCCTCAAATTAATTACAGGAGGGTTTTCCTTTTTCACCTCTTAATGTCAGGAGGTGTTTAAGAATGTGTTTCCCTTATGCTCTGAAGGCAGCATTTGCCTTGTGTTTCTGCAGTGTCTTCTCAACCACTTTATGATACAGGCTTGGCCCCAGCGTATTCTTGAGAGAGGGAGGTGAAGCAGGACACCTCATCCCTCTCAGCTGGTCTGGGCCTGGCGTTCACAGACTTTGCTGGGAGAGAGGGGTGCCCTGGGCCACTGGTGTCCAGAGGTTGGCATTCACCGGTAGTAACAGCTGATCCAGTTGCTAGACTCCCGTTCGGTTCTGGTGTTGCCCTGAGGGGTCAGGCCAACTCTCAGGATCTCAATATTGCACTGTTAGACAGGAGGGTATGACACAATTGCACATATACAAACACACAAATCAGTTAGGTGCATACACACACATACTACCAGCTCAGGCACATACACATCCAAACCAGCCTAGGCACATGCATACCTATCACCAATTCAAGCACATACACTAT